TTCATCAACATTTTGAGCTTTTTAATATAAATTTTGATTTTGGGTATGCAATATCTTTTATAAAAATTCTGATTAAAAAGCTTAAGATTTTGATGAGAATTTGTTTTTGGATTTTTCCGATTTTTGAACAAAGTTTGAAAGTTGTATTTATGTGGCTTTGGTTAAAGTATGAACGCTATTTCAAAAAAAAAAATAACAAAAAAAATTTAGCTTGAAAAACATTGTAAATATTAAAAACAAAACACCATTCAATCATTTTTGTCCGCCAGTGTACAACCAGTCTAATCCATATATCAACTATCATCTATTTCAACCTCTATGTAGGAACGTAAAAAATAATTGTAGCTAGGAATGTTAATCCCGGGATCCTTAAAAAGTCCTAAAAATCCCAGGATTCTTGGCAAATAATCCCGGGTTTTTCGGGATTTGCTATTTGCACTGATGGCAATAAAAGAAACTCCTCCTCCTTCACCTGCATTGACTATATTTCTTTTTTTATTTAATAATTAATATTTTTTTATAAATATCTAGCTAATTATAGTTGTAAATTTTAAACACAAATATCAGTATATTCGCGAAACCATGGGCCAAGTATAGTTGCGTTTCGCTCTGACGTCAGTAATTCAAGTTATTTTCAAAAATTCAGAGAAATGTGCTTAGAGAAGAAGTAAGGGCATCAAATCAAAGACGAAATCCGGTATAATTTAAACAAATTCAAGTTTTTAAAATTGTATCCGCGAAATTTCGCAATATTTGTTTTTGAACAAATTTTAAGGACTTATATAAACTCGATAACACCCTCGAATTTCGGGCTTCTAACTTTATCAGCTTAAAAAAATACCTATTCGCCCTTGGGAATCCCAAAAATATTTTATTTTTTTTTAATTCTAAAGAAGTTTCTTCTTGCATTTGGTACACATATTTCTGTTCTACATTGCATTGAATTTTTTAAATAATTTTTGGAATTAATCACTTCTTTAAAATTACAAGATCCTTTAAAATAAAACTGACATCAATGAGATAAAATAAAAACGCCACTTTAAATAAAAATGTAGGGTTGGAACCCATTTATTTTTTATTTATTTTATGGTAGGAGAGCTTCGCAAACATTATAGAAGCAATTTTTTCGATTTAAGTTTTTGAAAAATAATGAATATCTAAATCCCGGTGACTAATCCCGGTATCGCGGGATTGTGATAACGACATACCGAAAATCTCGGGATCGGAAAGGCTGAAAAATTAACATCCCTACTAACCCTACTACACCCAAGGTCCAGTGCGCATTACATATGCTGGGAACCCCCTTCTCAATTTAACTATTGGGCATAGATTATATTACGTATGTACCTGTACAAATGGATGCATAGGCGCATAATGTAAATATTTACAAACATTCATATACATAAATGCATTGTCGACAATGTCAGCTTTCGTTTCGGCGATCCATGGGATATCCCCCACTTGGGAGAGCTCTCTTGAATTGTTTGAGTACATCTACATACATACATCCATATGTACATATGTATGTATATAGTATGTATGTGAATATATTTTAATAAAAATGGACAAGCGAGAATTCGCTGAAGTGCGCTAAATGAATTGCTGGATAAAAGCTTTGGAAAAAATACTACCAGAGCACAGCAAGCAAAAGGCAAACAAACTGTTTGATGATTACAAAGAATGTGACTACTTGGAATTTTTTTTAATCAATTATACTGCGAAAAAATGCAAATGTTTTCAGCATATGACAGAAAGCAATTAGACTAAGCCATATGAGTTAGGTGTTCATAGGAACACATTCTGTCTGATTAGGAACAATATTATCCGTTGCGTTAGGGTAAGTCCCATATTAAAACATAAAATTCAGAAAAACCAAGAACCAAATTAGAATAAAATATGTACATATTAATGTATTTGGTGTTCGAACGGCCGAAACTCTCAACCTAATTCTACAGTTTAACGGCGCCCGCGATCGGCAAACGGGTGTTTATGCGAAGCTTTTTGATTGCAGAAGTACACCCAGAGGTTTGCAATTTGGTGGTAACTCTAACTGACTCTCAAACCTGTAGACTTTAGAAGGGGTTTCAGAAGTTCATTTATACCTTTCATTTCTAAAATTCTGAGGATTTACCTTGGACTCGACCTTTTACCGCCTCTAATTTTCGAAATATATGGATATGGAAAAGATTTTTCATATTAATTTCCATATGAGACGAGGGTGCCATAGCATAATGATATTAAGAAGAATTTTCAAGATGATTGCAATTTCGCATGGCTTTTACCTCGAGGTTTTAATCATTAAATCCCCTCAGACGCCCAATCATGCGGTTCAATGTAGGTACCTCTGGGTCATCTGGCCGAGTAACAGCTTCACTTTGAGCATGTCGCAGGTGCCGTTTTGTTCTAAAATTCCTGACTTACCGGCATAAATACCCATTTAGATGATTTCTTAAAGTACTCTACATCAAAGATTTAACTTGTCCAATATCGAACCCATGCAAGGGCGGTAACCTTTGCTTCTGTATTTACGAGTGAAGTTATAAGTCCAATATAATATCTTATCACCAGATAATTTAATTTTTTAAATTGCAAATAATTCAACGACTCCGAGAAAAGCCACTCGATAAATTCTAGAATAGTTCAAAATTAGCAGATAGTCGTACATTTACATGGAAACGCTTACGTGAACCAGGCATCTAAAACCACACCCATTAGAAATAGCACAGTTCAAATATTCACCTCACCGAGAATGCCTATTATACAGTGAATTTTATTCCCGGTAGCCCCAGTACGAATGTCTTATACTTGAATTCGTCGTTATTGCACATTTAATTGGTTTCCAGCTCCTTGGGTCTTTGAGTGAACTCAACGATTTCATTTCAAAGATTTATTTAAGATTTTAGTGGTCACATCTGAGCTTGCTAAACGGCGTGGTTATCAACCTCAACCACTATTTCGTTTACTATAGTATATCTATATGATCTGGTATCAAAAAAAAACACCCCCACCCTCTTTACCAAAAAAGATTTTGGAGCTTTGATAGCGTAGGCATTTCGTAGACAAGCTGTCACAGCTTCCATTATGAAGTGATGTAGCGCTAGTAAGTGTCAACAGAACACGGCCGAAACCGTTGTTGGGCATAGCACATTATGTGTGATTGTACAGCATTATCCAGACTAAGACTGCAATACTTCAGTTCTTCCACACTCAATACCCTTAAGGTTTGGTATTCGTCTATCAAGTAACTTTTAGATTTTATAACGAAAGCCGTCGGGGTTAGGAGTCACCAATTGGATACCACAGATCTTCTAGGGCGCGGTGTTACCTACATAGAGTGATCGTGTCATTGCTTGAGGCGAAGGCTGATCCTAGCTATTTGAGCCTGGATCATATTTCTTGTCCAGCATTTTTTAACAATAATAGTGAACTTAAAAAGCCTTTTTACTAGGCATTCCGTATTAAGTCCCAAGTACAGTTTGGAAGAAAGTATGACACCAAGTTTTTAGCGCCGGACAAACGAACGAAGATCAATGAGAAAATATTTACACATCTTTTCTCACAGTGTGCATACTTAAGTACGTACCTGAAAAATGTATGCTAACATTGGAAATTTTGTAAGAAAGCAGATTATTGAAATATTTCATTTATGTGCGCAGCCTTGCAGTCTGTGGAAAGTCAGTGAGTGAGCAGCAGGAGCAATACAAACACACGTCTGCGATGGATGGGCAGGGACAAGCAGCAGAGAAAACGCATAAAAAGTTGGCAACAGGTAAGCGCAGACAAACACACACAAGAGGCTTGTATGCCGGGCTCTCAAAGACAGATGATCGCACTAAACGATCTCACTAGCGGTGAGGAGAAAGAAAAGGTTTACACAAACCAAACTCGTTTCGTATTTTAATTTTTTTTTTTTTAATTTTTAACATCGAAATGAAGTACGAAATTTTACAAAAACGATTGATGGCAATTGTTGACTGAGTGTATGTACCATACATATGTATGTAAGTAGATGTGTGCGCGCTGCAAATAAGAGAAATGGTGGGCGCGGTAGCAACCCACCAAACAATTTGTTGCGGTTTCTTACCGATTTCGGAAAAATCTTTAGACGCGTCGCACAGTGTTTCGACTATATGGAGGAAGATAGAAAAAGTCATGGTGACAGTGGATAAAAAAAAAACCGGTTGTACATAGAGAGGAAAAAGTAAAAGTGACATACATACATTTCCAAAGAAATACGGAAATCGGCGCGATTCCAATTAATCAATTAAGTTGCCTTTGGCGATTATCCCATTAAAAAACTGTTTCTTTTTCAACTTTTTCTTTACGAAATCGTCAATAATTTCATATGAGAGGGTTGATTCGACTTCGCAAAGAAATAATTTAACGATTTCGTAAGGTAGGATCGTTAAGTAATATCTAAAGACTTTCGACTTTGTTCAGAAAAGTCCGATTTCCGACAAATTCGTATGCCTTGGTTTAGTGGGAAGCGAAGAAGCTGCGCTTTGTGTGTGTGTTGAAGAACCATCGAGTAGAGGTGTTGGAAGAACAGCTGAATTGAGTTGGTGTTGCTGCTGTCGTTGTTGTTGTTGCCACTATTGCTGAGGCGGCAGTTTAACGTTTATTCTTTTTTTGTTTATGCCTGAGTGAATACAACAAAACTAACAAAGAAAATTAACTGGTAGATATTTGTTGGTGCTGCTGATGCTTTTTGATTGTTTCAGATTTTTTCGACTTTTTCACTTATTGTTTTATTTTTTATGCCTTGCTGATATTAATGTTTTGTTGGCATGCCAACTGCAGCAGTAACAGCAGCAGCAAAACTAGCAACAACCTGACAGACAATAGCAATAGCCATAACGAAGCATAACAATGAGGCATGGAGACCTGCTGCTGCTGCTGCTAAGTACATTCGCGCACCAACCGGTGTTTGAGGCAGCGAGGCCGATTTCAATTTGTATTTACATTCATTCGACGAATAGGTTAGTCAGTATTCAAGCGCGGCTTGAGCGTGTTGTACGGTGCGGCAAAAATTAAGCGGGCCAACGCTATAGCAAACATCAGTGGCGGTGCTAACGGTAGAGGTGCCAATAAGCGGGTTCGTTGCTTGTGCAGTTGTTTGGCAACAGTAGTTGAATGCAGTTGATGGTGGCCGTTGTGGCATTGGATATCATTTTTGTAAATTTCGAAGAACGAAATGCTCAAGTTCTAAAGTACGATTTGTGACGTTGAAGCGAATTCTAATTAACGAAAGAAACGAGTTTTTGTATACCTAATTAGCAAAAATATCATATTTGACACTTTTTTCAACCGAATTCGCAGTTAAAAGGCAAAAAAAGATTGCAGTGTTGGCTTTGGTCTCTGATAAAAGCGGAAGTTTGTAACACAAGTAACGGAAAGCAATAAAATTGCAAGGTTTATGAAAGCCATAAACGAAGTTACATAAAGCGTGAATTAATAATATGGGCGCGTGTAAAGAAGCACATAAAATCTAAAATACTGAAATTTGTTAATAAATTAAAACGCCATTTAAAAAACACAAGCAGGTTTTTGTAAACTGCTACCTACTAGAAATGACTAAAAGCAACTGAAATAGAATCTAAAAAAGTCTACAAAGTATCCAGTAGCTGAAAATTGCCGAAATGTCGCGAAACTTACACATAACTTCAATATAATTGAAGTCCGTTCAATTTCAGTACAAACAGAAACGTCTACAAAGTCTGCACAAGTCACAAACTACCAAAAACTATACGTAAACTCTTTCAAAGCGGAAACAAGGCTTTAGAGAAAAGTCTCCAAGAGTGAAATATACAAAAACCTAAAGTTGTGAAGCAAATAAACAATAAACGAGAATATAGGAATCAAATCCATAGCATCTAAATACAACCAGATACTGCGAACTTCTACAACAGAGACCACTCAAGGTTGCCAAGGTTCGAAGTCATCTCTGCACCCAAAATGTCCGCTATGATAATGCTGCGTCGCGTCATCGACCTCCTCCTCTTTTTCGTACTAATTGGCGTTGAGATCGCGCTGCGCCAATGGATGCCACCACAGAAGCGCGGCTTCTTTTGCGGCGATGAGTCGTTGCAGTACCCCTTCACCAGCACGCAGACTTTTGGTTTTGGCGCGCTATGCATTGTCGCCCTTGGCATCCCTTTCTTCGTCATCCTCATCGTCGAACTCTTTCGACAGCTATCGCATAGCCGTGGCAAGCAGCATGCGCACGTAGCGCACGAATCCAACGACGATTCTTGCCACTGCGGACGACGCTGGAAGAATATTTACGCACAACTCGGCTACTACTTGCTGGGCATGCTAATGACGCTAATCGCCACCGAGATACCAAAGCGCGCCATTGGGCGCCTGCGCCCATATTTCTTTAGCATTTGTAAGCCACGTCTGGTCGATGGCACCAACTGTGACTTTGAACGCAACGAAGGCCAATACTTCGCCGAGTACACTTGCGAAGGTGATCTTAGCCATAAAATGATGGCCGAAATGGCAATGTCCTTTCCCAGCGGACACTCCTCGCTCGCATTCTACGCCATGGTTTACATCGCACTGTACCTGCAAGTGGCGCTCAGTACACGCGGCTCCAAGCTACTCAAGCATTTCCTGCAATTTGGCTTTGTTATGTTGGCTTGGTTTGTGGCGCTGACACGCGTCAACGATCACTGGCATCACTGGTCCGATGTGCTGGTGGGTATACTGTTGGGCACGCTATTTGCGTGGTTGGTGGCGCGTTACGTGGCCAAGTTGTTTGCGGGCCGTTGCTCGTCGTCCACATCGGCCGCGGCGGCGAAAATGTTGGCACATGCCAGCGTAGCCTCTGCGTCGGCGCAATCGGCGACGCCGGTATTGCCTGCGTACACATTTGGCAGTGTGCCGTATCTGCAGCACCACGGACCAAATCACGCCGCCTACGGTCAGACATACCACAATTACGGCTACGTGCCATAAAGCGGGCATGGCGGATGGAGAGACGAAACAAATGGGCACGAATGGCAGCTGTAGTGCAAAAACAAAAATATGTACGAGTACGTCCCAAATGCAGCTGAGTTGCAGTGAAAGCCATTGCAATTTTGTTATTATTTTATTGTTTCTTAATTGTTTGCTAAAATTTAAGTTTGCAACGCACGCATGTTTGGTATTGGAATTCGAAAAGAAAAGAGAAACGTTTCGTACAACATACCTGTGTGTACGGTTAAGTGATTTCGTTGAAGTCTTTCAAATCAGAGTCGAATTTTAATTGTAACTTATTTGTTAAAAAAAAAATCCTTACCTTTTAGGGCTTTCAGATACGCAAATGTATACATACATACATATATATGTACCATGTTATGACCTTTTAATATTTAAGGTGTTGATTGGCTTAAGAGTTCAGTTATTTCTTGTGAACACTAAAAACTAAAAAACAACATTTTATTCATTCAAAAACAGTGACCAGATAAAAAAAAAATAACTTTTGAAGTTTCCAAAAAACTCTCCAAATTCTAGTAAAGTATAATATTTATTTATTTCCCAGTTTAGTTAGTACCTAAAAACTCAAAATAAAGTTTTTCGTTTAAGATTTGCAACTCTCCAAAAAGTCTCCACAGCTAAAAATTGCTAAATTCTTATTTTTATGTATTAAAATGGCAGCTAGATCCCAAAACACAAGAGCACTCACAACTGCTATATTTTTAGTACCTACATATATATTTTGGAAAATAGAGTTTACTTCTGGTCAGTGAAAAATTTAGTTTCTAATTATGCTAATGATTTCTTTTTATTCGAATTTATTTCTAATAGTAAATTGTTTGAGATAAACACTTAATTATTATATACATATAAATTTATATATTTATATAATTATAAATATATTTATTGTGTACATAATATATTTTACTATACGAATACTTGTGAGAAAAATGTATAAAACGCAGAGCTAGCACTGTGTTTTGTAAGCGAAATTCGTCTTTTCATATCGAAGAGCTTTAACACTTTTATTATATCTAAATAAAAAGTACAACTGTTCTTATTTTAAATTATTTTAATGTGTTAATTTATTAATTTACAGTCTACTCAACAGGTGTTGCCAATTTTCAGCTATGACAAACAAAGTAATTTGAATCCAATTAAATTATGACAATTACTTATGTCAACTTGTAAGGTTTGAAAGGTAAGCAGCACTTAAATCTGATACACTTGACGAAACAGGCAAAATAATTATTTTTCTGCCCTCTGTATATAATGACCATGACATTTTATTTTCAATACCCGAAATGATTCGAATTATTCCTATCTGCGAAAATGCATTGTTTTAAAATGAGATTGCGGGGATATTTACAAATGTAGTCAATTCAAAGTTGAAATGGGTAAGAAACATTTAAATCAAGCATTAATCACTGACTTAAAAATCAATAATGAGAAAATTAGTAACAAATTAGTTGAGTGCTTCCAAGTTATCAGTTAGCAACAATTATCTGTTTTTTGTAGCAAAAAAGGTGCTTAGTCTATTAACAAAAAATTCAGTTGTGCTTCTAAGAACGCTTGTCTATTAGTCCGTTAAAAACAAATGCTTGCTAAAATTAAATTAAAATAAATTTTTATCAGCAGCACAAAAAGGGTTCCCATATTTTTCTGCTTATTTATTTTTATATTTTTTTGCGTCAATGACACAAGTGTTTTCAGCGAAGTACGCGATCAATTTTCGCCGACAGGTATTTGCATTCACAAATTGAATTTATTAAACAAAAAATAAAAATTAAAATTAAAACAAAAAACGTAAAACACAGTTAAGTTGTGTGCAGCGCAAACCAATTGAACAAATAAAAGTGTGTGTGCGCAAATGTATGAAGCCGTAGTTGTTTAGTGGAAAAAAGTAATAGGAATAGTAGTAGGTAGTGCTGTATAAAAGTAATCCAACAAGTCTTGCTTCAATAAGCATGACTGTCGCTGTTGTTCTTTTTAAACGCTTAGCAGTCCCACTTGACTAAATTTCAATTTATTTATATTTTTGCGGCGCTGATTGCTTAACAAAGATTCTAATAATAAATATAGATAATCATGTGTCGTAGAATGGGAATTAAAAAAGCGCAAATTACCAAACGGTAATAATGAGAAAAACACTACGATATTGAGGGTATATATATTAGGGTGGTCCAAAAAAAGGTAAAGACGGTACTTCAATGTTCTCACCCCCTAGGATTGTTCTATACCGAAAAAATATGCCCCTATTTTTGTATTCAATCAAACAATATTTAGAGGTCGCCCAAAGCGTTTACAGTTTTAGATTTTTCGTTGCTCTTAAAATTTACGGTATAGGGGCAAATAAAACGCTAAGCGTCCCCACTTAGCTTTCTAGGTTTTCCTTTTCCATAGGTCAGACATTTCTCCGGACATTGCATTGCGGGAACTTATTTCCGTACAAAAAATGCTGTAAAAAATTTCATTTCATGTAAAGACACTATGTAAACTAGGGTGGTCCAAAAACGCATGTGAAAAAGTAAGGTCGGAATTTGTATGCTCTCCCCCCATAGGATTGTTAGTTTTCGAGGTATTTTATATGGAGAAAAAACAACTTTTCGTAGAAATGGTATTGAATTCTTTAAAATCGATATTTTTCGATCAGAAAACTCTGGTTCTATTCAGGAGACTCCCAATAATAATACCCAAATGTTTATTTAATCATTTTTTTAATAATAAAGATTTTTTATTGGTCCCCCATTACATTTTCAAGGGTTTTCGGCGGATTTATAAAATATAGTAGTTGCGGGATTTCTATAAAGTATATAACTTGCAGTTAGCTACTAAACGCTAACTTGAAACTAGCTGCCAAGTAATGGAAGAGATTTTTTACTTTAAACGCAAATACTTCGCAAATACCTTTTTGAATTGAGGACAAATAAAAGGGAGATCGAAATTTCATATTATCATTTTGAGGTTATGTCTGACGGAGTTCGCATATGGGACCCCCTACAGCAGAATATGTAAACGAATATGAAATGTAATAAAATAAATAAAGTAAATAAATGCGTAGGTTATAGGAGCTATGCATTACTTTTTGCATTCCCAAACATTACCTTTTCCCACTGGGTTGTTGATATCCAGAGGGGGTCAGGGTTCGAATTCCACTGCAGGCAACTGGTGTTTGAGTTCGTTCAAAATCGGTTCACCTTTTACAGCACCAAACAAGAAGAGGAAGAACACAGTAGGTCTTCCTTATCATCTTAGCTTTAGTTGAATCAAGCCCAATAAGCTGCTCACAAGAATTTAAAGTAAATTATTTAATTACTTACAGAATGCACTTGAAAATTTTGCGCAAAAAACAAAATTGTTAATATGAACTTTTTAATTGTTTTAAATTGAAATTAGTTTCTACTTGCAACGCGACTAAGTAGAAGCAAAAAAAAAATGTGTAGACAATGAGTGGGTTGATTCCTAGAATATTAATAAGGCAGATAGTGGCTTCGCGCAGGATGGTCATCAACAATCAGAGCCAAACAAAAGTACTAAGGTAATAAATCCTATTTAGAATTAATTTACAAAATAAAATAAAGGAGGAAGAAAAATATGGAAGAAAGACAACGCATAAATGAAAATAAATCTTTTTTAACCATTGATGCACACTTTCTGACTCATATGTAATCTGTGGTTTAGATGCTAATTGGCTTGATCCGCGCCATGAGTGTGTACGTACATACATACATGGTTTTGTTGACGTAAAATTCTAAAACTACATATGGAACTGTCCGCATTTATCGCTTGGAGAATCGCTCATGTATTGCTAATGGAGTTGGAAAAGCCGACATTTGGCTGCGTCAGCATTATGTTATTATTACTATATATTTTTGGTTTGTTTTAGGAGCAAATCAACAGGGATTGGATGATTTGCTTTAAACTGCTCGTATGCGCTTACACAATACATATGTTAGTATTTGGCCGAGCTTCTCCTCCGTCTTGTTTTTTGTTTTTGATGTCAGTCGGACACTGGGCTTGATCCCAGGCCCTGTGGAATGGTAGTTAGCAGTTCCAACCACTACACTACAGCGGCCGCTTTATTTACTGCTTAAAAATGTTTATTTTTTTCGTCAAATCTCGGTTTTATTTTATATACTCCAAAACTGTATACATTATCTTCACAAAGACTTTCACTTACAGGCTTTTTATCACCTTCTTGCTGGTGTCTTTCCACCAGCTGAACATTAGAAATGTTTCCCCTTTTGTTTTCCGATATCTCAATTAAATTTGAACTCTCTTCTGAATGCGGTTGAGGATTTTCTTCCTCGTCTAAAGGTGGTGCTGTTGTATTTTTTGTAATTCCGACATGTTTGCTTGTACCATCAGCGATAAATGCAAGAATGATTAGGGAGATAATTTATCAAATTTTGAAGCCTTTAGATATAATTTAGTTACGGTGCTGCCTACGAATAAGTATGGGAATGTCCAACTAATTGAAAAGGCCAAGGTTCCATTTGCGCTATGTGCAAGAAACGCCTCTTAACTTTTACTAGAGTCAAACCACATCAAATTGCTCAATTGCCTTAAGCCGTATTTACATGAGTAGATTTTATAACAGACTTTTTCTATGCCAGAGTGCTTAGCTCTAAATATTTGAGTCGCTTTGGGGTGATTCGTTAACTCTCTTCATTCTTAAAATTTCCCTAAAAAAATCTCAGAAACTTAATGTAGAATATTTCTTTTTTTTTGCGAAAATGGCCAGTCATTACGACCGTACACCAGGAGATTATTGGTGTAACAATATATCACGTTAATTTAAATTTCGATGACAGTTTGTTTATTTATTTATTTATTTTGCTCACAAAAAAAGTAAATTTCAGGGTTGTATTCGCGAAGTTCAGATAATTTCGTCTCGATTTGACTGTAATTGAGATTCGTATGCAATTTTGGATGACAGGTATATGTATGGGCAAATTAAAAATCATAGAATAGTGTTGAAGTCACGCAATTTTCGCATCGTGAAAGCTCCGTACCTTAATGGTAACTTCATGAAATATAAGTTAAGGTTAAGAGATTATCTCTTTCGGCTAAATATTTCTATTTAAAAGCGAAAATATGCTGGCGCCGTGGTTGAGTTGTTATTTTTTGTATAAAAATTTAATAAATAAAAATTGCTCTTTGCGGTATTTGGTAACCCTTTATACAAACATTGAAAAAAAGTAGCTAAAAAATTTTAGAGAGAAAACTTTGTTTTAGTATCTGCTACAAATATTTTGTTTTTAATTAAATTTAATAAATACTTTTTTCATTTTGCGAAAAGCTACAAATACCTATTCTTATACATTCAAAAGGAAGCTCGTGGCACAACTAAAAATTCAGAAGACCTTTTTCAAGTTCTCCTAGGAAGGTTTTTTAACTAAATTAGGTTGTGGCATAAAAAGTCAAACGATTCGATTTTAATTAAAGCATCTCATATTCATGGTAGCCCTAACCACTATTTTTTTTTTATACAAACAGGAAAAAAAACTGTTAAGATTAGATCGGCGGCTGAGTTGAAGATGATCGCCCTTTTTCGGCAGCCGGCTCGAAAACACCCTATCTCAGAAAATGGCTCAAGAACGCCCTACTGCAGAATTGGGTTGAAGAAGGCACTCACTCAGAATTTCATGGAAAATCGCCCTATCTCAGAATTTTGTTCCAAAACGCTTTATCACAACTGAAAAAAAGGTTTATTGAAAATATGTTTATATCGAGCGGTTTTAAAACGAGTTCTGAAATAGGGCGATCTTTAATCAAATTCTGCGAAAGGGTTTCTTCGACCAAATTCTGAAATAGGACCTTCTTGAAAAATTTTCTTAGATTGGGCGTTTTCGAACCGGCTGCCGAGATAAGTCGATCTCCCACTCGGCCGGCGATATACTAGCCCAAAGTTATATCCTGTTGCTTTATTTGATGAATGTTCGAAAATTATCTCCCTTGGTACATATTTGCTATTTTTAGCAAACTATTTTTTACCCCAAATTATTCCGTCAATATAAATTTTTTTGTTGGTAAATTTATTTGGTACAACAAATATGTCTATCAGAGCA